TTAAAATTAAATGTTAAAATTAAAAGTTGAATGAATACTTAAAACCTATGTTACCCCGACACGGGATTTTTGGTCCCGTACCCGTGTCGGGTACGTATTGGGTGCGGATCCGCACCTAAACGGTAGGGACACGGCTACTTCACTCGCGAGGGAGAAAAAAAAACGAACCTAAAATTTTGCCTTCACCACCTTGAAATACCCAGTGCTCTGAAGCGATTCTACCTTCACTACCTTCGAACCCATCGACTGAAGCGACAACCCCATCAACAGAAGCGATGAATCCTGCTCCTCGACGACGAATCCTGCTCCTCGACGACAAAATCAGGAGCCTCGATGAAGCAATTTCAGCGTCTCGACGACGAATCGTGTTCCTTGACGACGACGATGACGGAAACCTAGAGATTGGTGAGGAGAAATAGGAGGCGGCGACGAAGACGGAGACGGCGGAAACCCTAGAGGGGGGAGGTTGAGGTTTTATATAGGGAGGGGTTTGGGTTCGGGTTTGGGTTCTTTTTATCGCCCGTTTGTTTTTTATACGGGGAGGGGTTTTGGTTTAGGTTTTATATAGGAGGGGGGTTTGGGTTTGGGTTTATATAAGTAATAATATTAGTTCAAAATTTTTAATTAAAATAAAAATAGTTTTCTATATCTTATGCAAGGAATATAGTTTTAATTTTTAGAATATGCTAGTTAGTTGTAAGTTTTTGAGATATAGAACTAACTTTTGGAGGTATATTTGCAACTTTAAACAATATATTGTAATATTTTGAGGGATGTTTGTCATATTTTAGGGTATATTTGCAAATGTAATATGTATTTAATTCAATACTGATCTAAAGTTAATTATTTTATATATATATATAGCTGTGTCCCTATACCCTACTTTTAACAAATTTGTCGTATCCCGTATCTGTACCCGCACCCGTATCTAGGCAACATAGCTTAAAACTCACTTTGGGTTTAGTGAGCGAGCAAAATAATGTAACGATGTGTTGCTCTTATTCAACCAATCAACTAGAATGGAATGCACAATATTACAAAATGATGATTCTTCTTCCTCCATTTCACCTTCTTTTCTCCAAATTAAGCTCTTCACCTTCTCAATCATTAAATCTCACATGTCATAAACTAAGTAGATGTTAGGTTTGTCGGTGTCGATAGATTGAAGCATATGATATATGTGCTCCATAAAGGAGATAATGTATCTCTTATCTTATCTCACCAAACATCATCCAAAAGCTTTTGCTTCACAAATTGTGACTTGCCAACATCATCTTTATATAAATCCAACTCTCACTAACCATCAACTCGATAAGACCACACTTTATTACTTTAAATTGTAGTAACATAAACACTACCAAAGCAAAACAACTTTCAGCATTAGCAAGCATCTTCAATCTCACATCACATGATCATTGAACATTGTCGGCCTCAGATAATTGGTTCATGATAAACTTTCGTATCATCACCACAGTTCCAATTATTTCACTAATCTAACCATATTCATCATACACTACTCCATTTCTTTTGAAGTCCTTTGTCGCACAGATCTGTTTAAGTGCAAGATCTAGCGTACGAACTACACAAGTCCAAAAAAGGTGAGGATATCATGTCTCTACGATGCCCCTCCGAACTTACAAACCGATGCATTATTTGTTTATAGCTTACACTATATTTTGAGGACCAACCTCTTCAATAGCTTTAATAAGAATGTCTGCAATATGCTCCGCGTTCTTAGTATTTCTCTCCATATTGATGGCATTTAAATACATCGATCCACCTTCGATCAGCACAATAACATCAATGATAAGCCTTCTTTGCGAGTCAGACTAACCATCACTTGTCAAGAAGACACCCTTCTCTTTGCATGTGTTCTTTATTGGCTCCAACAAATTTTCATCATGTGCCCTATCTCTTAGCAAAAGACTAGTTCTTAGAATATTGAAACTGAGAAACATAACCTCCGAAAAAATTGTTTGCGACACATTCATAGGATTCGACAAAATATGAACTCATTGCTAAATTAAATGGTAAAACAGGTCATGTTCAACATTCTTACAAATAGACTATGTAAATGATCTCACGCTTTTTGATTAAAAAGTGTTATTAAAGGCACGTGCCTCATACGCCCTGCGATGTGAGCAAGTTTATTGATAGCGGATAGTGTCGCATAGCGACAAGACACCATGAAGACCATTAGGGGTATAACGGCAAAAAGCGCAAAGTCAAATAGTGATCCAATTTAAATATGTATAAATATTCAAAAAAAATAAGAAAATTAAACAAAACTTTAAATTTTCTATAAATGCATATTTATGATTTATAGAGATCCTGAGGAAGAGGACACTGTGAGCTTCGAGCTAGAAAAGGCAGCAGGAGAGACGGACAGAGGGGGGTTTTGGGATTGAAGTGGATTAGTTAGGGAGGGAGGTAGGGGTTGAGGTCAAAGGCAATCATAGTAGAGAGTCTCGGGGTTAGAGGTGTTGTAGTTAGAGGAAAGGTAGAGGTTGAGGTAGTCGGAGAGGGATATGAGGGTCGCCAACGATAAAGTTAGCAGGGAGAGGAGAAGAGGCGCCGAGTTGGCGAAAATCGTGGGATTAGTGTTTTCTCTTCTTCGTCTTTTGAGATCGAATCAAAGTGGGAAGAGATAGAGAGCTGAGGGGGTTTTAGTTAATTACCGGTCGGATTTGAGTTGAATATTAAACTGAGAATCCATAATTAAAAATGCTCTTACGCGCGATAAACATCGCTATTATGAGCAAATAGCGCACAGAGCGCTATCGTCCACCGCTTTCGTCGATACCCAGTGGTGGGTGCTAATGCAGTTTGCAGCACTATTGGGCGCTATCTTCAACAATGAATGTGAGGCAGTGGCGAAGCGCCTCGCTTTTTAAGTGGCAGTGCCTTGTGCGCCGCGTAAGCGCCCTGCGATAGGGAACTTCACATTGTGTACATGTCAGACAGCCTCAAAAATTATTGTTCTTTAGCGTTTTTATATGCGATCACTCATACCCCAAAAAAAAAACCATTTGGTCATCTTAGTAACCCGATTGACGACTCTAGCTCATTCTCGTCTACTATTTTATTTTGCTTCAATAAAAGTTTTGATTTAAATTTTATTTGGAAAATTATGAGCTTTGCTACTATGTCCAGTGTGTTAGCTTTATGAATTAGGATCTTATTTTATGATTTGGTAGTAGATATTATTTAACATATTTTTTATGTGAAAAAGCATAAATGTGTTCTTTCATGCTTGATTATGAATCTTGAAAAATTATGTGTGCGGTGTGCACCTCGCTTCACTTGGGCACGTGCATCACATTGCACCTTGCGCATGTGCTCATATAGACTTTGCAACCCCACATTTCGCAATGCGCATTGCAGATTGATAACACTGATTAAAAGATTGTTCTATGGTAAATCCACCATCACTCATCTTCTTTGTAATTTCGGTTGTTGTGGTGGATGTTGATGTAGATAGGACAAATGGCCAACTCTCCATAAAAGTATCAAGTGACCCCCATAAAGTATCAATTTACCTCAAACTATAGTTATAGATCCCGTGTTAGCGTACTTTTAAATTCCTTCACATAGCATTCTTAACTTCACTAAGGGCCAGTTTGAATTGGGGTTAATGGGAGGTAGGAGACTCATTAACCTTGTTTAGAAACTCATTTGTAATAGATAATGTGAGAAAGTTAAGGTAACTAAGGTGAGAAAATCTAAGAGTTTGCTCCCCCTCCAATCGAGGTGTAACCAAGGGGAATTTAAGGTAACTATTACACAAAGACAATTTTACCCTTCTATCAAAAGAAGTACACAAAGACAATTTTACCCTTCTATCAAAAGAAGAGTATAACACGTGTAAGTTTATTTATGTAATTTGCATATATTCTCTTCCCTTCGCTTTATCAAACTTCGCAAACAAGGTGAAAAAAGCTACCCTCAATTCCCTTTACTAAATTCTCTTTACTAAATTCCCAAACAATTTTTGTATGTTACATTATCTTAACTTATGCTATGTTCAACTAACTTCCCTTCACAAGGGACAAATCTAAACAGTCCCTAAGCCTAATTTTATACCATGCTTATTAGCTTGTAAATTCATTTGGTTTTATCCCAAGTTCTTCAATTATAATAAATGGCAGAAATTCTCATTATAAAGGATAAATGTATGGTTGACATCATTAATATGTTAATTTCCTATAGACTCACAAAATTATCATATCGGGCATATGTACACAGTTCAAGGGGGAAGATAAGCAATTGATACTTTAAGAGGCAACTTAAATTTAACGGGAAAATTATCATTGTGTCCTATTATATCTCCAAATCTTCTGATATAGCACTTCGATATTTACCACATGTCCCCGATATTACCCCAATATCCACAATCTGATATGGATTCTGCTTGTCTGATATTTACTCGATATTCAACATTTAAAACCTTGCCTCTCATCAGACTCAGTACATGGCACATTCCATAGCCAACAATCCTTGAAAGGCGGATGCACCTCCCAAATTACTAGAGGATGCAACATGGCATATAACCCATCCCAGAATATCAAATCTGAATCCTAGTATTCCCAATACAGCAGCATCACCTGACTCCCACTCACCAAAAGCTTACAATTCTGTGTCAAGCAGACATGTCATGCTGCATCCATCCTCACTTCTTGTGAGGAAAGTGATTGGTATTCTATTAGAATACAACGATGTGGTAGCTTGGAAGGTTCCACATAGATTGTTTCCAACCTACCGGATGCCAAGATAATTACCTTTCACTACTTGAAATAAGCTAATCACGTATATGATTATCCGGGAGCATTTAATTATTGTTTAAGTTGTTGAGCAACTATTAGCTAACATGTCCTTCAAACACACATAATCAATCACCCCTCTATAATTAAGTCACACAGCATCACACTTAACCTACTATTCTCACTGCATATGAGGAATCAGGTAGATAACTCACTAAAAAGTGAACAAGTGATACTTACAGTTTCAACATCTTCAGGTTCACTAAAACTCCGGTCAATAAGTTCCCGAAGCTGAGGGAATTCTTCCATTGCAAATAATATCGGAGCTGTCACAATTCCCTGTACAAATATAATCAGTTTTACAATAAGATAACTTGTAAATTGACAAAGACATACTATTTGTTTATTGTATATCATATTCATGATACAGATATCAAAGAGAAAAGGGTACAGTATCAGATACATAATATCTGCAAGGTATGAATAGAATGTGGAGACTAGAGACACTATATATTCAATTTTCTATTCCTTCCAGAATACAAGAAGCACACCCACAACAGAACAACAACAACGACAAAAACAAAGCCTTTACACAAGAAGCTCACCGACACCAAGCATTATAATTGTGCAAGTATACGACGTGAAATCTGGATATCTTGCTTATGTGCCATATGTCACATAAATCATGGCAGAAACAGTTAAATGTATGATACCTTCAAGTAGGAAGTGCCTGGAAATATCAGCATCCAGTGGAGCACTAGAAGAATTGTGAAGATAAATGAAATATTCTTGCATTCAATTTGAGCTAAAGGGAAATAAGAAAAAAAATTCACCATTTTAATTACAAATCGGAAATAAACAACGGTTGTGCCCATGTCAGAATCTTAAGCCTTTGCTATATTAACTTCTCATCACGTCTAATATTTTGCACATGCTAACAGTGATAATTTGAGGTAAAACAAAATGATCCTTTCCAAAATGAACCATTCATTACCACATGTGTGGCATGGGCACTTCTATCGTGAAGATGTGCGGTGTCACACAAACAATAGACATGTGTCCTGTGTATTTTGAGAAGTCGTGTGCCAATTTGCCATGTCCATGTCACTACATGTGGAGCTACAACATGGATGAGACCATAATGCCATCCTTAAAAGTATGGTGGTATCATATACCTTCAGCTTTAGCCACCACTCACTTATCTTGCTGTTCTTTTTCCTTTTTTATTCTTTTTCTCTCATTGGATGTACTGTGAATGGATTTGTTTCTGTGTGCATGGTGTCTTTTCCTGCTATCCTACAAAGGATATACCAGTACTCAAATATTCAATTCAAAAATCTAATCAGATCATTGGTCCACAAACCTTTGCTCGTTTTATTCAGAATGCTTCTCCACCACCACTTTTAAATAAATCACTGCAATACTTCATTTTATCTATATGGTTCCTAAATATAAGCAGTTGTCTGAGACTAATATAAAAAATTATATTCAATCAATTAAAGTGGGTAGTAAATGACAATGTCAGGTCTACATATGATCAATGTGCAGCCCTACTGTCGTGCATAGACAAGCCCTTCTTTTTCCTGTAATTTATTTGCAAGATATGTGTCAAGACTTAGAAGCTAAGTTGCATGGAAACGGGCACGGGTACTGGTACGGGTGCGGGACACGACAAAACTGTAAAATGTTGGGTACGAGGACACGACTATATATATATATATATATATATATAGACGGATGTGAAGTGTAAGCTTTACGTCCAGGAAGTCTTTGACAAGTGTTTTAAATTAACACATATATCGTCTAATTGAGTACATGTTGTAATAAATGCATGCATATATTCAAGAAGTGTCCATGAAGTTTGGGTACGGGAAAGTGTCGGGTACGTGTCCGGTACGGGTACGGCTTCAATAATGAAGTACCCGGGTAACATAGCTTAGAAGGTTGACCTCCTTACAGGTGGCCGCAAGATATGGATCAAACCATTCACGGATTCATCTACATATTAAATTCCATTTTGCTAATAAAAAAAAGTAAAATGATCATGAAGATAACAGAGATGGAATTATAATAAGGATGAATAACACTAATGATTATGATAAGGATCAGCCGCAATACTGTTTCAGTCAATTTACTTTTACTTCCTATCATGCAAAGAATTCTATAAGATCAAGATATATGAAAGCTGTTCCCTTTCAATTTACTTTTACTTCCTATCATGCAAAGAATTCTATAAGATCAAGATATATGAAAGCTGTTCCCTTTAAATAATGACAAGATAATACATAGGTAAGAGAAGATTACATGGCGAATGTCGGACAATGAGCCTTTTCCAAGAGAAGCTGATGTTCCAGTGAAATCAAGAACATCATCTATCAACTGAAATGCTAAACCCTACAATTACTCAAAAAGCAGAAAGTCAACTAATGGCCAAATAGCAAGAAAAAGTTGACAGAAAATAGGTCACTAGGAAAGATCAGATATGATACAAACCAGATTTCGACCATAGTCATAAGCAAGCATTGAAACTTCAGCAGTTTGACCTGCAAGGATAGCAATAACCAGATTTCGACCATAGTCATAAGCAAGCATTGAAACTTCAGCAGTTTGACCTGCAAGGATAGCAATAGCCTTGCAGCTGTTGGAAATCAATGAAGCTGTCTTGTAATATGTCTTTTGTAGGTAATACTCCATGCTGTATATTACATCAAATGATTTCAGCTATGACAAAAAGATAACTCTTGGATGAAAACAAGGCTACATGGAGATGTATCTAAGCCCCAGATTCAACTACGTTGAAAAACCAAAGCAAAGGAAAAGATGCACCCGTGGAGTGTATGCTGAAACTATGTACCTGCAACGCTTCTCAGAATTTGTTGTCATTTGCATTGTTTCACCTGTAACTAAATGTTCAACAACAGTTGCAAGCAATGACACAACCTGCAGGGGCATGGTAAAGAGTAAATTATAGTCTAAATACCAAAATCCAGTTAAGCTAGGGAGATAACACATAATCTGACAGAAAAGGCCATTATGAATCATCTGCATTGACTGTCCATATATTAGATATTCACATAAAGCAAAATTACAAATCAAATAGAGTGATTATAAATTTACCTTATACAATGAAGCACCAATTGAATGTATTTGTTAGGAAATCGCCTAAAGCCGAACTCCAGACTAAAAATAGTAAAATGAATAGTAGTAATTAAGCCAAAAGGGAAGCCTTCTATGGAGTCCTAGGTACACTTCAACTCGACTAACTAAATATATTCACCCAACTTAATATGGAAATAATCCCACATCTTATTTCATTCTACCAAATCCAACAACCACCCAAATCAGACTATTAGCCCACAAAACCAATTCAATGCGAGACACTTCATAAGAGACTGTACCATGGTCATATCATGGAGATAGTGTCCCAACCCTCCTTTCGACACTGCAGTCACTTTTTTTTCCAATGTCTACATCCTTGTGCAGTGGTTTCCGTTTGGGAATATAATTATTTATTAATTTACTTATTTCTTATTCATGTAGTGTTTGCAAGTTGTGCAAAGCTGGGGCATATTTGCTGACAGGTTTTGCATGTCCTACTTCAGCCCAAAGCTTATTAGCGGCTTTGCATGTATCAATAATGCTCCCTTTTGGGTCTATTCAGGCACCCAGGTCTTTAATGTTGGAGTCAATGTCATGACACATTCGGCATCCTCCATCCATATCTTGAGGCCTACAAAATATGAGCTCCGATATCACTTTAAAATTCAGCTAAAAGCCCCACTTGAAAGATTGAAGCAAAACAAAGTTGCTAATAGGTCAGTTAGACCTCAACGTGTATTAACCTTGAGCAGCTAAGCAATTTAAGCTTGATTCCATCTGTAAGAAGTGGCATGTCCCATTATGTAGTATAGTAAATCTCACAGAAGTGGTTCCCAAGTGTGTCAGTATTGTTCTTAGTGATTTACAATTTCACATGGATAGATGAATCAGGTGGAGAACCAGAGGATATGCTTAGGAAACACATACTGTTTATTGCTGTAGCAGAAAAAATGTTCATGCCACGCCTGAGATAAATACAGCTTTTCCAACAAATAGTAAAGACAATGGATATAGTTTCGACTTTCAAACACAGGTGACCTTTATACTGAGCATGAAACTATAAACTTTCGATAATCACTACGCACTAGAAATGCAAGACTGAAATGCAAGACTGTGTAAGACATCAATGATCAACAATCACTATCTAGACGACCAAGATCAATAAATTGACGGCATGATAAGGAAAAGTCATGAAGCCTGCAACAGGCTTCTTATACATTTATTTTCCTCAACAATAACTAAAGTACAAGTGCCCTACAATATTAGGACATACTGAGTTGACCATTGTTTTATGTCCTACCTCATAAATGTAACAGATCTTTACACAAAAGTGATTAGCATATTATGCATTAACATTTCAAGACAGTCTATGACATAAGGGATTTCAACTGTTCATGCATACCAAGAACTAAAGCAGGTTCTGGTGCTAGGCATAAAGTACCTTCCAGACGGATATGTGAGCTTAATTTAATACCAGATATCCCTATGTGATTGCATTTATTTCAATCTGGATTTAGATATAAATAACGTAGTATTAAGCGATATTTGTACATTACTTCAACATCAGTTAAGCACTATGCACATTAAGCTTAGATCTATGTCTATGACTAATTATTCATAATGTCACATGAGAGCTAAGTTTCCAAAATAATAAATGTACAAAAAGAAGGTGAAACTTGTGTGTGATGAAATTGCAACAGTAAGTAATCACATACCTCTGTATTTTTCAGTGAAGCAAGAGCGACACAAGCTCTGGAAAGTAGAAAATCTCCTGCCAGCACAGCAAGCTACATAAACAAGTACGTCAATGTGTGTATAAATTATAAATGACCATAAGAAATTGATGTAGACACACTGAGCAATGGATGGCAATATGACAACATTTATGAGGCTTCACCAGTCAGTAATGTAAATTGGTAGTTGACAATCCATACATTACATTCACAGAAACAATTATCCAACTTACGCATGAAATAGAAAAGTTTGTTTATTACCAAAGAAATGATCAAAAGTTCTGATATACGCTTGATCATAAAGGCAGTTAAAATGTTAGGTTGTGTTTGGCAATCTTTCAAAATTGGGCCAGGTTAACCTGGCCCAATTTTGAAATATTTTTTGTTTGGCAAACAAAAGGCCTAGATCATCCATGTTTTCATAGGCCAAAATATGGTCTTAAACCAGTTTTCTTTCGGACCGGAGGGGAGGGGGGAAGCTGGTCCAGAGGAAAACTGGTTTAGCACAAAACAGGGCCAGGACTGGGCCTAGCCCAGTTTTGTGTAGCTTGTCAAACACACCCTTAGCTATTTACCTAACAAGAAGTCCATTATGCTCTCCTAAATTCTAGTTTGAAGAAAATATATAGGAAATAACTTGTGAAAATAATCAGAAGATATACAAAACTGACTAAAACTTGATCAAGTTGGACAATATTATAGACTTTGATATGGACAAGAATAAGCATTTAACTTGAGTACTAACAAATCTTTACAACTTCGTCAACTCTTACTACTATTCAATCTCTCTTCATCGATCTTTAATTTAAACTGAGTCTACAGCAAGTGTATTATTGTCAGAGACAAATTAACTTTCTTTCTTGTTCAAAGTAACTATATAATGCTAAAAGTTGATACTAACTTTAGTGAACAAGACAGTGACAAATTATCTCATGCTTCAAATTTGTGAATTCCATCAGGATGAGTATAGTTAGGAAGTTGCATAGACTAGATAGTGCATGGCAAATGTTTTACTTGTTTCCTTCTATACATTAAAATATATTAGAAGTGTTTAAGATAAATTCATGTCAATAAGGCCAAGTCACGATGTGAAGACCAGGCTTTACCTTGTTTCCCATTACAAAATTCAATGAACTGATCCCCCGCCTCGTTTCTGCATCATCTAATACATCGTCATGCAGAAGGCTTGCAACCTGATATGGCAAAAGGAAACAGACCATTAATTAGACAAAAGGACAGGGTTAAAGTAAGAACAATCCCGCTGGAGAAGCACATCTATATAACTGAATATCATACACACTGAATCCCCAAAATCCAACATTAAAACAAGAAAAGAAGACCACAAGAATAAATACTTAATAAGGGAAAGCTCACATGGATCATTTCAGTTATTTCAGCAATTGACTGCTGCCTTCCACGCACTTCCTTTGGTAGCATATGAAGATTGCCATCAATGACTGTTTTAGGAATGGGTACATCCAATGCAGATGCCATTAATAACAAAACCTGCACAAAATGATATCTTCAAGTTTCATATAGAACCAAATTTATGCATGAGTCATGGAAATAGTCACGAAACACATCTTCTATACAGGACAACCACCAACAAATATTTCACTGAGCTATTACAAAATATCACAAATGCCATATGCTATATGATAGGAAAGGCTGGTATACATCTTATAGACCATATATCTCCAGACGATCAGACATAACATTCAACCAGATGGGAGCGTAAAGCACGAACTATCATAAGAAATGCATAATCAATAAAACTTTTTATATACATTATAAAGTAGAAGTTGTTGAAAATGAAACTCTTACTGTGGGACGGAATCTTTTTCCTTCAACACCCATTTTAAAGAAGTATTCTGCAGCTGAGGCCAGCTTCGGTACCTACAGGAAACAGGTGTCGTAGTTAAAGTCCAAAGAAATAAGCAAAGAACAATTCTCAGATACTATAGTTTAGCAAACAACACATTCCTACTGAGTATCTTATACATTACCACTTAGTATCTTATTCATAGATGAAGAAAATCAACGGAAATTTCAAAAAGCTACAATATAAGAAGACCACAGACCTCTGCAACAACCATCGAGCGCAATCTGTCTGCAAGGGTTGACAGTTCATCCGCAACAAGGGAGAAGGGATCCACTGTTTCCTGCTAAAAGAAGACCTTATGGTGTCAGAATCATTTCACTTCTTTTTAAGAGATTTTTGATACAGATTAGAACTCTTATGAAATTTCTGGATTCCCCAAAAAGCATGTTGCATGGATATGGGTGAGGGTACATACACGAAAACGGGTGCTGATACCGGACATGGCATAATAGTAAAAGTTAGGATACGGGGACACAGCTATACACATACATATTAAATTAATCATCTATATGAGATCGATATTATTTTTTATTCACATGTTATGAGAACTAAAATATCAAGAAGATTATTAAATGAAAAACCACTCATATTTGAACTAGATACCAAAACTATCCTTTAAAATCATACTTATGAACTAGAGATGTGCTGAAGGTATGTCCCGAGTCCAATGAATTGCATAAACTTGAGGTGAAGTGTACGATATACATTCAAGACGTGTATCATGATTTTTTTGAACTGACACATGTCTTATGTAATTGAGTACACATCTGAATAAATGTGTGCATATATCGAAGAAGTGTCCAAGGAGTGTCAAACACAAACACGGATATGGGAGCCTCCGGGTAACCTAGCTCAAAAACCATCTGTTTTGTTGGGTTATTGCACGTGACTATTATAGATGCTTATAAATTAATAAATTGTCAATTGTTAGTTTGTTATATCTACAAACATTCTTTTTAAACTGGTCATCAATGAAGTTTCATCACCAGTTATTTATATCTCATAGGCAATCATAAAAAAGTGTAACAAGATTGCCAAGACGGTAAGGTTCACACTCAAAGTTCAATGCTGCATTTCTCAAATCTTTTCATTAACTATCAAATTAACCGAGAAAATGAAGAGTACTTTATTCAAATTTGATATTTTTAGAGGATCCGAATCAAGTTTAGACGAAAAACATCAATTTTTCTCCTACCCAAATTCTTTCATATGAGAAGTTCTTGACCAAAAGAATGTGTTATCTGGAGCTTGCAAAACACCTGGTGTTAATCCCTAGAATCATCTCCCATTGCAAACTTTGAAACTAGCATGAAATAGATTATTAGTCAACCTCCTTTCCTCAATAGATGCTCTTTTCCTTTTCACCTCAGGCGACTCAGGACCCAAGCCCTTGCATATTACATAAGCAATGCCACAAGTTACAACCAAGGGTTTCTTTGGTGGTAGTGATGATGGATGGGGAGTGGGTGTGTTCCTTTTCGCCCATTTTTTAGGGTGGGTGGGTGAGTTGGTGTGTACATGAAACAGAGCACAAACACAGAAGATCAAGGGAAGCAGTACCAAATTAGCCATATACCAAAAGCGAACTGGCTAAGCTATGCATCATGTGGGAGATCAGCCGCATCAAGGATTAAAGGACAGTCTACAGCTTTGTGCAGAAGCGGAATTGAGTCTGGTTTGCAAACATAGAAGAAAATTGACAGGGATACACACACACACACACGCTAATATGTTAATCTTTCCTCTGCCTTTGGATACTAAAGCACACTTCCGTGAGTTTCTTATATAGGTTAAACATTGCACCACAAATTTTCTTATATTTGCAAGTTCCATGAACATGTAGCATGTTAATTATTTCCTTGCATTAATGTCGCACACTTCTATCCACTTACCTTGCAACCCATACGCGTCCTTTAGAAAGAATAGGAATGACTCGATCTACACTGTACATTTATGGGTCATCCAGCTGTAAGTGTAGATCCTCTTTATTTCATGCATTCTATAGATATTAGGATATGCTGCTACACATTGTTTTCTAATTCCTTTTTTATCTCTCCACCTTTTGCAAGGAACATGATTAGGGAACACTAATGTGTGCAGGGACTCCTCGTAATGGGTAGGGTCGTGGCGGCCCTTGAGTCAAAGCTACTACATTCATAAACAAATGAAGGTTCAATTTTCTGACCTCAATTAGTCAATTTTTAACCACACATTGTGGTTTGCAAGAGGAGAAAATCGTTGTACAATGGGTTAGAGGGAAACACAAGTACTGGGGAAGAAAGTGGCATTAATGGATTTGGTTTTTTACAAGGTTTAAGTAGGTTTAAAGAAACAAATTCAGATTTGGAGTACTTAATATAGGGTATAACTGGAAAGCCATGACAAAAGTCTTAACTTAAACAGAATATTCCCTCCAAATCAAATGGTAGCTAACTACAGTGACTAATCTGAAATAACTAATATGGGTACAGGGACTAAATAGCAATTATAATGATATGCAGGACTAATTTCATAATATTATAGATTTAGGGGACCAATTTCATTTATGCTATTTTTAAAATTTTATGATTGTACATTACTCTAAATAATTGCTAGCCAATATTACTTCATTCACAGCACTCCCTGCCTCCCACTGTAAATTTTTCTACAATTTATGATTTCTACATCGCCGCACACTCAGTCAAAATCAAAATTGTCAAAATTTATAACACAGTAATTAAAGAGACAAGAAAGAGCAATATTGTCTAATTGAAAGTAACTTGATCTATTATTCCTTTTTTTGGTCTTTCTTGCGCTATAGATTTAAAGCTCGTAGTTAAAGAGAATAACATTAAGAAAGTCAAAAGAAATTACTTCGGCTCCGAAATTTTCATCCTCGTTAACCCGATATCTGAGGTCATGCAAGCCATGTGAACCACATCGGAGACTTTCTCTGCAACCCAACACCTACTAATCCACAAAAACATAGTGCAAACATCAAAGAAACAGCATGAGTACTTCAATAAATTACTATTTTCTATGTGAAGGTCGTATACATGACGCTAAGACTATAAACCAATGAATTCAACAAGAAGATTCTTCTTTGATACTAACACACAAAAAGACGGATCGGCCAAAATCAGGCACAAAATGAGCCCAAACAATGAGGAGAAGGAAATGCCAAAAGACAGTGAGAAATTGTGGCAAATAGACATCAAAGACGAAGAATGAAAAAAAAAATGAACTTTTCAAATAGAATAATTTACGCACATCAAATTTACTTACAAGTTTATCTAATTCTTGGAACCATGACCTTAGAGCGTAATTATGATGAAAAATAATGCATCAATTAGAAGAAAATTACAACACAATAACCATAAATGTGTACCTCTGAGTGTAAAAGGGACGGATTTGACCTAATTAGGGTTCCATAACGAGCAGCCAAGAACAAATTCTCAGCGCTGCCGCCATAAAAGGAGCTCCTTCTTGATCTCAAACATCTCAAAGCCCATCGCAAATACATATGATCCTGAGTTCCAAACCCCTGAGTAATCGAGCTCCAATCTAAAAACTTAAAATAATAGAAACAAAATCAAGTAAATACACAAAAAACATCTCCAAAGAATACTTAAGTTATACCTGATTTTAGTTGAGTGCGGAAGTGAGACGCACAAAAAAGAGGTGGAGGCCAGAGCGGTCACAATTCGCTAGTGTAAACCGCAAGAAATGTTAGTTTTTCTTATCTCTTTTTTCCCCTGTTTTGAGACGACGTAAAGTTGTTTGGGGCCGTTGACAATTAATCTGACGGCTTTAGTTGGGTTGTTTAATGATAGGGAACTGGATCTCCGGTCCAATTCGGCACAGCCTTTTTTGACTTGAACCAATCGCCACCGATTAATTAACACGTTGGAAAGCAACAGACCCTAACGGGTATGAACCCGACCCGCAATAAAATTTACACGGTGGTCGGCTCGGACTAATGTCTGGTTAAATTATTCACCCTTTGGCAGAGGATGTGGCCACGCATATAGCGGTGGAAGTTGATTGAATAAACTGCTAATGTTCACCTTAACCCAAAACCCTTTGCCACAAACCTTTTCAGAACTTATCACATCATCACTTTTATTCTCAAATGAAAACGGCATGTGTCCTAAATCCTCACTGTCCATATTCCTAGGACAAAATAATTTAAATTTATAAAAAAATCTAAACCATCCGTTTTAAACAATCCATCCAATCTCAACCGATTTCTCTCTCTTCTACCATTCGCATCAGTCATGTAATCCCCAAAATCTCTATGAAATTATACTCATAATTTCCGCCTTGATGACAATCTAACTAAAAAATTCCCCGCGGCCAAAAAATAGAAATATTACTGAAAATAATTCTGAAAAAAATTCCCCATCAACTTTTCACCATCATCCTCTTCCATCATCCCTCAATCTCGGTGAGTTTCATGGCAAACTCCCCTTTTAATTTCCATTGATTGTTTTTTTCTTAAAATATTTCATGATGTATACCCCCCCCCCCCAAAAAAAAAATTTCAATTGTCTTCCCAATAGCATCAACAACTACGCACGGGTAAGAACTCTTCAAGTTATTGGCTTTATTATCTTCAATATTTATGTGATAATTGCCCTTATATGGCCATTGATTTCATTTAATTCTTTTAACAGTTTGTTATACGATTTTAATTTTCAAAGCTTCTCTGCATTAAATATGTATTTATCCGTGAGTTTTAATATATTTCAAATCATTTCGGTTATTTTCTCTATCATCGTCCAAAGGACATCGTCGACCACTACATATTCATAGGTAAGAATTCCGCAGCAACTTCTACTACAACCAACAAGAGATGCAATAGAAGATATAATTGTATCAACATATCCAGATATTCAACAGAATTGCTATAATCAAAGTTATTTGGAAGAAAGAGCAATACTAACTCCAAGAAATGAGATAGTTGACATCATAAACAATTGTGTACTGGATAAAATAGAAGGAGGATTCACAACATACCTCAGTTCAGATTCTATTTGCCAAACATTTCCAAATCTGCAATTAAATCAATCACAATATCTGACAGAGTTTCTTAATTCTTTGACATTTCCTTCCATGCCAAATCATGAGATAAAACTGAAAGTAGGAACTCCAATCATGCTCCTGCGTAATCTAAGCCCTACTGAAGGACTCTGTAATGGCACAAGATTAATTGTTACTCAGTTATTGAAATGGGTCATCGAGGCTAGAATCATCAGTGGTAGCCACATAGGTTCAAAGCATTTTCTTTCAAGAACTGTCAGTACAAACACTGATTCTCAATGGAATTTTCACATGAAACGAAGACAGCTACCAATTAAAACATGTTTTGCCATGACTATTAACAAAAGTCGGGGATAAACATTGATATATGTGGGTTTGTACCTTCCAAGACCATGTTTCACACATAGACAGTTTTACGTCGCAGTGTCAAGAGTGATGATCCCTTAAGGTCTTAAAATTCTTATTGTTGACAATGATGATAATGTGGCATATGATGGAGTTACAGTGAATGTAGTTTATCATGAAATTTTCAACAACTTGAATTAAGGTATTATAGGGATCAAACACAATGCAACTTGCATGTCATTATTATATTATAACAATAGTTTTAACTAGATTGAGTATTAAATAGTGATATGGTATGCAGTATACATATAATACAAATAAACTGAACTTATCGAGGCTTGGGTCCATTTATGCATTGTAATTTGTGTTCTATTATCTGACATTACATACAGTTTAATGCTTTATACAGTGTTATCGAGGCGCAAGGCGCAATGCGGGACGCAAAGGCCCCTTATGCGCACAACAATGCGCGTGTCTCACTGAATTGAGGCGCATAGCTCAAACTAATATTTTCCAACATAAAACAAAAAAGCATATAAGCAACATGTTTATAAATTATAACATAAAAAAACTAAGAAATATAATTTCACATACTAAATCACGAAAGAGTCTTAATTAGCATGCATAATATAGAGAAGTTCATAAGTTTTCACAAATCACAATGCAAGATAATCTCCAACATAAGCAAAAGTCTATGAAAGTTCATAAGTTTTCACAAATCACAATGCAAGATAATCTCCAACATAAGCAAAAGTCTATGAAACAAAATAAGCAAGTAACAAATAAGAAATATATATTTTCATTTAAAATTGATATATGTATTTTTTAAGTAACAATTAAATGATTAGCAAACATGATTGTTCATAATTTTCTAGTTAGCATTCTTAATTGCTATTTGCTAGTTAGCATGAAAAAATAGAGAATGCAGATAACAATTACATATTTATATGTACATAATTTCTAGTTAGCATGCTAATTAAAAAAGGAAGTTACTGTTAGCAAACAAGTATACTAAATTACTAATTAATATTTTTTTATAGGTTAAACATGAAAAGATGGAGAATGGATTAACTAACAAGAAAGAGTCTATTACATGATGTAAATATGTAATATGTAAATTATTTTAAAAAAATAAAAGAAAGAGGTTGTTACATGATGTAAGTGTCAAGCGCACGAGGCGCGAGTGAGGCGCACACGAGGCGCACACGAGGTACGCGCCTCGTGTGCCTGTAGCGTCCCGCCTCTGGTGCGAGGCGCAATTGCCCCAACCCGCAGCGCCCCGCGTCCGGGGCGCGCTCGAGGCACACGCCTCGATAACACTGGCTTTATATGTAAATTATATGATCTATCATACTTATTAATTAGTTACAGGTCTGCACAGTTTAAGATGGAAGTTGTTCATAGCAATCAAGGATCTGAGCATCAAATCAAAAGAGGTTACTATTAAGGCCCGTGTAACAAACATATGGGAGAATATTAACATCAAAACGAAAGAATATTATGGACTGTATATCATACTCTTGGACGAATCTGTAAGAAATTTATAACCTTATAGTCACTTCCATTGATTTCTTTATTGATAATGTTTTCGCACGAAATATAATTCATAATTTATGTTTCCATCATTCAAGTTTAATTTTTTTATAATATCTATATTCTACAGGACACTTTAATTTAGGGAAGTATTCATGTTAATGGAATGTCTAGATTCCATCCTATGTTGGAAGAAGGCAGCATTCATGTTCTATCAAAGTTTCGAGTCATTCATTCATTTGGTAACTACAGAGCTACAAGGAACAAGTCTATGATAAGTTTCTGCAGGCAGACTCAAATCCGTATTTTGCAAGATTATGAAATTTCAATTCCCAAGTACAAATTCCACTACACAGCATTCAGTGACTTGCCTTCACTCAGCACAAATAGAACTTACTTGACAGGTTGTAATTTTAATTACTAATTCATTTTTTCAATAATACATGTTTTTTGATAGTATTAAATATATTCTATATCTTCAATAGATATCGTTGGAATTGTAAAGGAAATATACCCATTAGAACTAATATTAAATATATTCTATATCTTCAATAGATATCGTTGGAATTGTAAAGGAAATATACCCATTAGAACTAACTGCAAATGGACCAATAGATATCGTTGGAATTGTAAAGGAAATATACCCATTAGAACTAACTGCAAATGGACAAAAGAGTTATCCTAGAAGATCACTAAAGTTAATAGATGAAAGGTAAGATTTAGTATGGACATTGTAGGAATATATATAAATAACGCAGCTTCATTCTATTAAATTATCTTAACAATACTAAAGTGCAACTGTCTTGATTACAGTAATGTTGAACTCAAAGCTACACTATGGAACAAATTAGCTGTTGACTTGGAAAAGCAAACTTCAAAATCAAGACCCGAGCAATATGGTCATGATCGTCACTGGGGTTGTCATAAATACTTTCAGAGGTAATATGAATAACTTGAACCAATAATATTTATACAAATCAACTAAGCTTTATGGAATAATTTAAAAATAAAAGCTATAATTTCTTCAGGTCAATTCTCAGCATCAGTCAGTACGGGTTCAAAAGTTTACATAAACATTAACGAGTCACGGGTATTGGAACTATCACATAGGTAATCTTTAAACTGCATATATGGTGAAAACTAGCCATTATTTTTTGTAAACATTAAAATTATTGATGTACACATGCACAGGTACTATAAGATTTGTGACATACACAATATGATTTACTTTCACTTCATTTTCCAATTGTAATACATAATTTTAAATAAAATATGTATATGTACAGAAATACGGACACTGAAACTAAATTGTAAGTTATTGCCACACCAGTAAACTTCAATCCAAGCCAACCAAAGTTAGTGAAATCTGAAATAGCAACTTTGATGGAATAAATATACTTTGAAGACCCGAAAACAGCCGAAGTAAATTACAAAAACACTCAAATGATGAACCAAATTTTATTTTTCAAGAAAATAGACCTCATTATCAAGAATTTGTGCAGGTCTATCATTTTTTATGTCAGGGGAAAATTATTAGCATACTTGAACAAAAATGGAGATAACATGGATGTCCATACTGCAACAAGAAAACGATGGAATCAGGAAACACCTATTGGTGCAGACAATGTAACAAGGAAGTCCTAGCAGAGAACAAGTAAGCAATTAATTTATTTCACGCTACAAATAAATTTTTCTCATAGACTTTTTATTCTGAGTAAATATTTTTCTAAATATAAACTTATCAATAGGTATAGAATGACATTGGATGTGGAAGATAGAACTACAATCAATACATTCGTTGTCTTTAGAAAGGAGGCAGAAAATTTAATCAAAGTTTCAGCCCAGGAGGTATCAAGGACAATAGAATATGTAAGCTCAACCTCTAATAACCAAACTGCTTCACATAAGATAAATGTATTAAGAAGTGCTTAACTAATGCGTGATTTTGTGCAGAACAATGAAAGGGAGATAATCCCAGAGATTAACAAATCAATTATTGGGAAGACTATAAAAGTTCAGGTTAAGCTAACAAAGTATAACTTCGAAGAAGGTAAGCAATTCTTTTGTTTAATTATTGATCTAATACATTTATCTAATATATCGCAATAATATCCTACAAATTTAAAGATAGCTTTATATCTGTTTTTCATAGTTTTAATTTCATAATGATGAAACATACAACATAGTTTTAATTTTATAATGATGAAACATACAATGAAAGCTTCACTGTTACAAAATTTATCGAAGTTATTGAAGGTGATTCACAGGTACAAACCTAAATTTTGAAGTTATCAAACTTATCAAAGTTATTAGAAATGCTTATTATTTTAATGACAATGTATAGTACATTACATCTAATTTTCTCTACAAAGGAATCCCAAGAAGTTGAAGTTGTTGATCTAAATGAAGAGGCTCTCCTACAAACACCTAAACATATTTCAAAAGATAAAGTTGTGTTCACTCCCTTGACTAACACACCGCTCGAGCCAAAGATGAAAAAGATTTTCAAAAATTCACCTTCAAGGATAAAAGATCTTGGAGATGACGAGAACATTCAAAGGAATTCTACTGTCAAAAAAACTG